CTCTTACTTTCCGTTTCTCCCTTCCGACCCCCTGTCTAGGCAGTCCTGGGACTAAAGCGAGCATGCGCACTGCCTGGGAAAAGCACGCACACGCCCAGCCCTGCATCAGTAGCCTTGCCAAGGACCTGCTGCAGTCTTGACCTCTGCCTCCAGGCCAGGCCTCCCCAGCTTGGCTCGAGAAGATTCAGTGACTTTGTTTTCCGGGTCCCTCTCTTTCCCTCGACAACACGTGCGGACCAATATCATGTTGAGGAGGTGTTCCCTAAGCCTGCTGTTCGTTTCCGTTAAAAGTGGGAGAGCTTTTATATTAGAAACTGTGGCCATGAGGAGAAAGAGGCCAGGGGGGAGGAAGAGGATGGAGGAAGGGCTGGAAAAGCAACTGATGCCCACCTTGGACTGTTGGGAGCCCCTCAGGATCAAGAGCAGAAACTACTGGAATGATTCAAGGGGAGTTGTGTGTAACCCTAAGCACCACCAGGCCTGCCTGGGGCCCTGTTTCCTGTTTCAGGCTGTGGCAGAATGCTAGAGAGAGGGCCTCCTTCCCACTGCTGCCTGCAGCCCAGCAGCGAGCAAGCCCTCCGAGGCTTCAGCCTAGGCACTGGTATTCCTGAAAAGGATGGAGGTAGCAAGGAGGCTTTTCTGAGTGACCCTGTGGGCAATAGAAGTGAAGAAAAGGAAGGCCTGCAGTCATAGGCCCAGAGTGCTTTTGGGGCGTAGCCTGCTTTATGCATGCAGGCAAAGCATCCTCGGGGGTCCCCGCAAGTAACTTGAGTCCTGCCTTGCCAAGATGCAGACCATACTGCAGGTTAGACACTGGGCTACACCCAGACTGGGACTGGGGAGATGACAGTGTTAGACAGAAGGTTGGGTCGGCTGAGTGGGAGCATTCTCAAGGTTCCATAACTCTTCTTCCCCACTTCATTTGATGAAGCTACTTTGACGATTCAGATTCTGCAGATTAAAAATGGCAGCCCCGACGGCCCTGATTCTGCTCCCTCGTAGTCGTTACACAGAATCACAGAATCTCAGTGTTGGGGGTTGGGGGGGCTAACAGGTTACCAGTCTCACGTCCACCACCCATTTTATGCTCCTCTCAAGCATGGCTTGACTGCTTGATGCAAACCTAGCCAAACCTGTACATCTTCTGGCTCTAAAATTGGCCTGAGGCCCCACCACGTACTGGTTATTGCACAGGAGGCAGATCTGACTTGAATAACATTGCCAAAACCTAACTTGTATTTTTTTACAAAGAAAATGTAAGTAATTGGGTTTGGGTTTGAGTTCAGCTCTGTGACCTTGGGGAAGGCAGTCCCCTCGGTGGGGTGGACCACAGGGACGGCCTCCTTCCCGACCTCTCCTCCAGGACTTCCAGAATCCTGCCTCCACAGCCATTTACTGCAAATGACACACCGGAGCAGCTCCTGCAAGGAACTGCCTTCCTAACAGCCACCAGGCAATGCTTCCGAGGGCTGGCTCCCCGTGGACAGGACAGATGTGCGGGCAGATCCCAGCCTCCCGACCCTCCTTTTCAGGCTTCTCCCTGGTCTTCCACTTCAAGCACTGGTCTGCGACTCCCAGGGAACGCCAGGTCCCTTCAATGGATGTGAGCAGAGAGCGGGAAGCCTGCACTAGTGGGGTTCACAGCAGGGCAGCTGCTCCGTGCTTCGCTCTGGCCATGCTTGTACCATGGAGCATGGTAAGAAACCAACAGAAACCCCTTCAGCGCCCAAGTAGTGAAAGACTGATTAAAGTATTACTTAATTGAATTATGGTTTTTTTGTTTATAGATTTTCTTTGTTATTGTGGATTTGTTCTCATTATTGAATTATAATTAATTATATGATAGTCCATCCAGCAGTTAAAAAGAAGGAAATTAACCAATATGCACTGACTGAAAACCTCTCCCAGACACATTATTAGGTGAAAACACTGAGGGCAGTAGGTTTGTATGATATGATCCTATTTCAGCTTTTTAATGTGTGAGTGTGTGAATGTGTGTAGGTATACGTGTGTGTGCATGTGTGTTAACATATGCATGCACGCACATGTGCATTGTGTGTCTATACATGTGAGTGTGTCTATGCGTGCCCATGTGATCACGTTTATGTTTGTGTGTGTAAGGTGTGTGTAGGTTTGCTTTTGTGTAAGCTGTGGGAGTTGGTATCTGTGTGGATGTCCGTATGTGTGAGCACACACGCGCCCACAGGACAAGCAGGGAAGAAGTAAGCCTCACTGCTAAGAATGTTCTCTCTGAGAGAGTGCGGGAAGGATTGAAGCAGGAACTTGCAGGTTGACTTTCATTTCTCACTTTTAAGTGTTTGAATCATAGGTGACTTTTTCTTTCACTTTTGTGTTTTCAGTATTTTCAAGATTTAGGGACCAAATAAAACAAAGCAATCCCTACATGTCTTCATCCCTGCCCATTTGTGGGGAAAAGAGTAGAAGTGATGTGTGCACTCTCACTCAGACAGCTATCAGGGACCAGGCCCGAGAGTGGGCAGGTGGCGGCACGGCGGGGGGGGCTGCAGGGGGGCAGGGCTCACCGTGACTTCTGGGCAGGGCTGCTGGTGGGGTAGGGAGCAGGGCATGGGTCATCCAGGGAAGAAGGCTTCATGACTATCTGCTGTGCACTTAGGAGTGGGCAAGCTGCCCTCCAGGGACCCGTCTGGCTCAAAGACTCAAGGTGCCCATCAGGTCCGTAAAAACCAAAGTAATACTCAGTGTAACATGCAAGTGGCTAGAAAACTGGACTCACAAACTTCTATCAGCAGAAGGGGTTTTCAGGTTGACTGAACCCAGTCTGCGTCTCAGTGGCCCCAGGAGAAATGGCACCTAAGTGAACCCCTGTCTGTTAGGTGAGAGTTCCATTTCTACGAGACCGTTAACTTATGTTGATTCTAGATTTATTAGATCTCTAGTATCTTTAGAAATCTTCTCCTTTCTTCTGCTGGGAGGGAGGGAAGCACAGGAAGAAATCGAAGGCTAAACATAAGGTTTCCTACTTGTAAGCTGGGTTGTACCAGGGGAAGGAAGAAGGAAACATGTCCCCCAGACTCCAGGAAGGTTCCTGGTCTTATGTCTACAGTCTGGACACAGACCAGCTAAAGCCATCATCCTGCTAGGCACTCAACCCCCTGTCTTCCTGAGAGTTCTCACTCCCACCCCAGCTGTCTTCTGGTTCTGTGTTGTCGGCCCCCACCATGTGACCTCACCCACCTCTTTGCCTTCTGCTCTTCTCCCTGTGCACCCTCCCTGGACGATCAAGACCTCAGCCATCCCCAACACATCAGATACCCTGCTCTCACTTAACCATTCATTCAACCATATATGTTGGGCACGTACTCAATGTCTGAGTCTGGACGGACTGTAGAGGATGCAGAAATGAGCAACAGGCATTTGTTCAACAGGTATTTACCAGTACTACTAGTAGGTGCCGGCCCCTGTGGATTGCAGGACTGAGTCAGTCACTCCTTTAGTTTCCCACGGCACTCTGGGCTCCCCAGCAGCATTACTTATCACTAACTCAGCCCAAGGGTCAGAAGAAGTGTCTAGAAGGGGTGATACATAAGCTGGGATCTCCCTGCTACTGAAATAGGAAAGGCAGAAACTCCTGCTGCTCATGCTCCTTCCTCTCTGGACCTCGTGTCCACAGCCCTTCGGCTGCAGGGACCCTGGGAGTCTGTGTGTGTTGGGGCTGGGGAATGGCAAGGGAGGCACGACACAGCCCCGGCACAAAGTCAAAGTGGCTGTGTTTAAACCTAAGCGACAGGGAGCTCAGTTCCCACCCCAACCCCGAGACCGCTCTTCAAAATGCAGACCAAAGGGCTGTTGTTAGGGTTCCTTGAAAACAACTTCACGCTGTTTGGGGAAAGCATCCTAGGAACTGGTTTGAAAAACTGGGGAATTTTTGAGGAAAGCACTAACTATTCTCTTTTGATCTACAGATCGGGGGCTTCTGTTGTGGCCTTTCCGGTCTGCTCGCTTCAGACTGGCCGCCGTGATCCCAACTGACAAAATCCAATCCCTTAATATCTAGCCTGCTGATACTGTTTGTCCTGAGTTCAGTAGTCATTGTACACTGACAGACTCCTTGGTTTGCCTCAAGTCTGAAGTCAAGGGGAGACTCTGTCAGCAGCCAAGGACCTCTTGATCCTGCGTGGGGTTTCCCTCCAGTTGCAGGGCTTGTCCCTGTGCATGTTTATGAAATGTATAAAGGTGTATAGAGTTGTACCGCTTCTGAGATTTTTTTCTAACTGTTGAATATAGTGTGCAGTGTTTAACACAATGAACACTTAAAGCTGTCCATTGATTATTTTTTCAAAAATTTGAGCTCAGTGTTTGAAATTTATTTAGTTATTTATTTATTGCTTTTTAAAACTTTATTTCAACGTAACTATACTTACAGAAATACACTCATACTGGTTAACAGAATGCAATTTAAATTTAACTTATCCTACACAATTTGGACCAAAAATTTGGTACATGATTTGCTTTAAAATTAGATGAAAAACAAACCAGATCGCAAATCTTTTTTTTAATTAAAAAATTTTTGTAATTAAAAAAAATTACAAATGTATATAAAAGATCCTCTATAAAATGCTGCTAAAGCAAACAGCAAAGCAAATGGCAAGAACCTTGAGAAATTAACCTTTGGTTTGTCCCTCAAAAATAACATGTATTGCCCTCCAAGAGCTTATAAAATTGGTGGAGGAAAACACTGTAACGTTTCAATGATGAAATTTAAATGTGAAGAAAATTGTATGCCCCTCAAAACAAAACAACTTCGTACGTAGACTTCACTCATCTAGGTTCATTTTGTAATAACTCGACAGCTGAACTAGAGTGGCGTCAGCGTCACAGCCGGCAGTTCTTCATCCTCCGTGAAGAGAAGGCGTAGAGAACGAGGACAGTGGCTGAGCCCACATGTGGAAAGGGCCCCGCGGTCTCCCGCCACACAGAACTTGCCAGGAAGCGGCCTCCTCCAGCCCAGAAGTTCTAGGATGGCCCCACTGCAGAAAAACCACACCTTGAGCTCTGACTTTATCATCTTGGGCTTTGGGGACCTGGCTGAACTACAAATCTTCTTTTTCGGACTCTTTCTGATTATGCATCTTGTCACCTTAGCTGGGCACACCACCATTGTGCTCATCACCTGCACTAACTCCTCCCTTCAGACCCCCATGTATTTCTTCCTCCGCAACCTGTCTGCCATTGAAATTTGCTATATATTGGTCATCGTCCCCAACATGCCGGCCAACTTCCTGTCCCGGAGCCAGCAGATGCCCTTCCTGGGCTGTGCCTTGCAGATGCATCTCTTCATCGCCCTGGGCGGTGCGGAGTGTTTCCTCCTGGCCGCGATGGCCTACGACCGCTTTGTGGCCATCTGCAGGCCCCTGCGCTACCCGCTCACGGTCACCAGGACCCTCTGTCTGCAGATGCTGGCCCTTGCATGTGTCAGTGGCTTTGCACTGTCCCTCGCCCTGACTACACTGATATTCCTCTTCCCCTTTTGTCAGTCCCATGAGGTCAATCATTTCTTTTGTGACATTCCTGCGGTGCTTTTTCTGGCCTGCTCGGACACCCGAGCCAACGAGATTGCCATCTTCCTGGTCTGCACGCTGATCCTGTTGATTCCCTTCTTCCTGATCCTGCTCTCCTACGGCTTCGTCACTGCTGCTGTCCTCAGAATCCACTCAGCCGAAGGCAGGAGCAAAGCCTTCTCCACCTGTGCTGGGCACCTGCTGGTCTCTCTTCTGCACTACGGCTGCGCGATATTCATCTACATTCGCCCCAAGTCATGCTACAGCCCGGACCAGGACAAAATCATCTCCTTGATCTACACCAATGTCACTCCCATGCTCTACCCTGTGATCTACAGTCTGAGGAACAAGGAAGTCAAGGGTGCCCTCAAGAGACTCCTCGAGAGCCACAACTGAATGAGGCGGCAGTCCAGGACGAGGTGAAGGGGAGGTGGGCTCCACCACAACTAGCCTGGCCCACTTCCCAGAGCTCAGCGCATCACCACACTGCCCACCTTTTCTGTGCTCAGAGAGAGGGACCGAATCCCAGTGCTTTCCAAGATGGGGCAGCTCTAGGGTGTCTGTGAATGTTTCACTGTCCCTTCATGGACAATTGTATCCATCACCTGGGGCACTGTTGGAGACACAGACACTGACAGGAAGATATGGCCTGAACAGGACATTAAAGCAGCCACTTGTCTGGCCAAAAAGCTAGCAGGGCTAGAAGTACAAGGAACTAGCTCCCAAGTCAAAACGAGCTGAAGTGAAGGGGTGAAAAGGCAGAGTCAGCCCAGAAACTGAATCCCACATCACCAGGAAATGGCCTAGAGATCACTTGAGACACAAGGATACAAACTGAAGCAGCAGCGGCCGGGAGTTGCAATTCACTCCACCCTCCTCCTGCTCACTGTCCTCACTAAGGCATCTCAGGACCTGCCCCACTTCCGGCCTCAGGCTGGACTGCTGACTCCTCTGCATCCCCCGATCTGTTAAAGGGCCACTTGCTCCTGGCAGCTTGGGGAAGGCGCCCTCCCTGTGTGGCCCTTCATGCTTACTCCTCACCTATCTCCCCGACTGGGGTAGAGGCTCCTTGAAGGCAAGAACTATGATTAACCTCTGTCACCCCAGCCCCTGGCCCGTAACAGGTGTTCCATAAGCTTCAGACTTCAGTTGCTCAAGGAATGAAAGGGTTCAATATCCCACTGAGCTGAGGCCTCTGTGACTCAGGGACTCAGGTCAGGTATATTGATCTCAAGAAAATGTTTGCTGACCTCACTCCCACCCCTGCATCTCTTTGCTTCACAGTACTCAGCAGCATTCTTGAATGAATGGATGAACGAGCTCCTCGCATGAACCAAGCACTGTGGATGTAAAACAGCGTAAGACACAGTCCCTGCCCTCAAGATGTGGATGTAAAACAGCATAAGACACAGTCCCTGCCCTCAAGATGTGGATGTAAAACAGCATAAGACACAGTCCCTGCCCTCAAGACACTCACAAATTAGGCTGGGGAAATTAGGCACCTTATTAAAAAGACTACAGTAAAGCAACTTATGTTAGTACAATAGTTCTGAGCTATTCTTTCGTAGGAAGGACGGAGTCATTCCACCACCAGTCCTAGGAGCAGGCACACACTGCTCAAAGGGTCAGGGATGTAGGGGTCTGGGTCCTTGATGAGCCTTCCTTGAACAGTGAGACCAACACTGTGACCACCTCCCTCTGGACCTCGTGTTTGGTCAGCAATACACTTCCTTATAGTTTAAGCCCCCAAAGTGCTCCCCTGGACATACGGAAAAATTCCATAAGCACCAGTGATTTCCAGCTTTGCCTGCCCTCCCACCTCCCTCATCATCCCTGGGTAACGACCATTTCTTCTACCACAAAGAAGCCCTCAGAGCCACCGCAGGGGCCCTCCTCCACTGGAGTGGTAGATCCTGGAGGATGACGACATGGATAATTTTTCCTAGTGCCAAGGCCATAGCAAGTCACTGAGAGAAGATGGTGACAGCAGGGAAGAATCCACTAGAGGCTGTGCCCGGGAGCTTACAGACCAGCAAATTCCTGGTCACAGTCCAGTGCTGACGATGCTGTGTGGAAAGATAGGCCCAGGTTGTCCGCAAATGGGGCAATCCTCTTCCACACCTCCTGGGACTGTGGTGAGGATCACACAGGACAACACCTCAAAAGCGTGCCTCGTCCAGTATGCAGGGGGTGGAATCAGTGGCAGCAAGGACTGGGTCCTAGAAAAGCTTGCACCCTGGAAGGGTGGGAGGGGAACACCACATGGGCCCCCCTTTATTTGTACATGCTTAGGTGGTGCCTCTTCTTTTATCACTTTAAGAAATACACCTCTCTGTTAAAAACAAACTCAGGCAAAGAGACTAAATCAAAGTTGCATTCACATTCGGTCCTCAGGGGAGATTCAGAGGGAATCTCAGCATAAGGAGAACTTAAAAAAAAAAAGGCTTGAAAGTTTGTGAGACAAGTTGTGGTCTTGAATCATCTTATTCATGTATGTGTCTTATTTTGAGTTAATTAAAACCCTACAAAACAAACAAAACAAAAGAAAAAAGAAATATAGCTCTCACTGCTCTCACCCTTAAGTCCTTCCCTACTTTCAAAATAAACTAGTGAAATGTTGACATGTGTTGAAGCCGGGTGAGGGGCAGGTGTGTAGCGCTGGGGTTTCCACAGTAAAGACTTCTGAAAACCAAAGGTACTGATAGGTCTCCTCAGCCCAGGCAGGCCCCTTGCTCGGAGTGCCCTCCTGCACCTCTAACGCTTATCCAGCCTTCACTGGCCCTTCAGGCACAGCCCAAATGCCTTCTAGCCCATGACCCCTTTGCAACTACTGCCCTGGTCCAGTTCGCACGTAAGACAAGGGAACATCGCTGACAGGAGTATAGCTGTGGGTTCCTGTCCACTGGGCCTTGCTGTCTGTGACAGGAAGGAGTGACAGCACCAACCCAGGTGTCCCTGCACATGCACACACACACACGCATGTGCCCGGACAAGTACAGCCTGAGGGTGGGCGAAGGGTTCAGACAGGGAGTCCCATCACTCCCAGGCAATGGGGTGGGGGATCTGGCAGCACAGGGGGCCCCAGGAAGAAGGGAGACCTTCTCCTGGGCCTGGTGGGACAGGGTATGCATCTGACCTGGTGCCCAGGGTCCCGGTAGCGGTCAGCAGGGTCATCAGAGGTGAAGTGATGATAACCCACTGACTTCCCCAGTGGGGGGGTGTTCCCAGAGGGAAGGGGTACAAGAATCTGTGACTTAAGAGATGATGCCAACCTGGCCTGAGGTAGCCTAGGGAGAGTGACTGGGACATATTTAGGGGGACTGGGGATGTGGAGGTTAGAGGAGACAGTGGGAGGCTATGGGAGTGCGAGGAAGAGGGAAGCATCTGGGAAGTGGGGAGACACAGTGAGGTCAGCTGGGAGCTGGCTGCATTCCGGATCCTTCAGGACATTTAGGTTTAGGCGTCTATATCAACTTGAAGCTCAGGATTTCAAAAAAGATGTTGAGTATCTGGCAAAGAGAGTCTTGTTGATGTATTTAGCCATCAACTTCCTCGAATTTATATGCCTTGGTCCCGTCACCTCTTCACCTTAATCGTTACAGATTATGCCTAATGCGTTTTAAATCCATTTACTATATTCCAAACAAGTCTTCTCTGATTCAGAAATGCAAAGGCTTTGACCAATACGCAGCCAGAAGTGTTCAGGGTAGGACTAGTGCTGTGGAGAGGAGGGGCTGTGATGCGCTGACCACCCTGTGAGCATCCAGCTCTGCGTGTGCATGTGCGTGTGCGTGTGTGTGTATTTTGTGTTTCCACACATGTGTACACGTATACGTGAGTACCTGGCAGGGTAGAAAATCAAGCTATTCCCTTGTGTGACGCTGATGAAATGCTGATGAAGCTAATAAGCAGCTGTCCTCTCGGGGAATAACTCTCCAGGTAGAATGAGCAGTATGTGTGGAATTGAGAAAGGTTTGCTTTTTTGGAAGCAGCTCAAAGTCACAAAGCCAGGCAGGGCTCTTCTGCACCGGCCCTCATGATGCCTGGGCCCCGAGGCTCAGGGACCTTAGGGACCTCATCAAGGTACTCCTAATTGCATCAAGGAAGGGTGCCAATTAGAAACACTTTCAAAGGAAAGATTGGCCTCCAATGAATTAAACAGGATAATTAAAACTTCAGCAAATTAGTTCACTTGGGAACTAATTAGAAGTTTTTCTGAACCATTTCTGAATAAGTTTCTTAATTTTTTTCTGCTTAGAAATGCAATCCATGCTTACTGTCACAAATAGAAAAAGTATGGGCAGATTTGGAAAAGGAAATAAAAATAAGTCACATCATCTCACTGCTAAAGATAACAACAATAAAAATGCTGGTATATTTCAAGATGAAATGAGCTCATTCATGGTAATTGCTTCAAACAGTGATGGGAACATGGTAATCACTCAATAAATGTTATTGCTTATAAATATGCCATAGTTAGCAGGCTTAGAAGTCTCTCCCCATGAAAAATTCAGATAAAATTCATCTAAATTTTCCTCTAATATTTTCATTTTGATTTTATTGTGTGCCTAATAAATACCTTCTCATTACAAGCGATTCATGTGACGCAGGGATACGTAGCATAAGTGTGGATGTATCCCTTCACAAAGCCCTCCCCCACCCAATGCTTCACTGAGATGTGTAACAACAGCCTAGGAGGCCAGTGCTCATCCATCCACTCCTATTTCATTTCATTCATTCACCAGTTACCTGCACCTCAGAAATGTCCCTTGAAAGAAGAAAAGGAGGCATTTGTTCAGTGACTCTTGGTTGCATCGACACAGTGCTATGTCCTGGGATGTGACCTCCCTTGCTCTTCCAGCCCACCCTGTGCACAGACTGGATGGAGGCAGACAGTGGAGGTGTTAGAGCAGGCAGATAGCTAGATATGAGCAGAGAAAGGGGGACGCAGGCCAAATGGCAGGAATTGGGCAGAAAAGAGGGGCACCGGCCAAATGCAGGAAATCACACATCACATAAGCACCAGGGGTCCCTGGGCAGAGAAAAGCAGGAACCTCTGGGCTCATAAGTGGTCATACATTTTAGGGTGATGAGTGGCCTGGAGGCTGACAAAGAAAGGTGGGAAAGGGTAGAAATCCCCAGTGTCCGAATGTAACCTTTTACTCATTATGCCCTCATTTGAACAAAATTAGCCTTGTAGATCAGAAGTGCCCATAATGCAGCGAGGCCATGACACTTCCATCCAGACTAAATACGGACACAAATCCCTCCTCCCCTCAGGAAGGTGGAGCTGGGATGGAAATCCCGGAATAGGACCCCAAACCCCTCCCTCCCCAATGAATATCCTGCCATTCACTTTTACACCCTGTGTAACCAACCTGCCAGAGAAACTCAGG